GGGTTAATACTTACCTGTGTCTTCACCGCACGCACCGGTCTGAACATCTGAAAATTTCTCAGGCGGCCACAAAGGATCTTGGGGCTGGCGCATGCGCAGTTCAGATGTTCGGCGACAAGGAGAGACACAAGGTGAGTCTATAGAGCAGCGTGCACCCGCACAGATTCCGTGGGACATTAGAGAAGAGGAGGACAGAGGAGTCAGCGCTGGATCGGAGACCCGCACCAGTGCTTGAGGGACAGCTAAAAACTACAGGAAAGAAGATGATCGGATTAAGGGGAAAAAGAATTAGCCTTTAATGTCACTTTAACAGGCACTAGGATTTCAGTCTGCTGTAGTCACATGGAAAAAGATGAAACCTGGTTGCCATAGGTTACTGTACTCTACACATGACAGATTATTCTGCAAAGCTGGCCATACACCGGTAGAAATTCAGTTCAATTTTCTAATAGTTCATAGTGGTAAATGTAGGATTGATTTTAACCATAGAAAAATCACAGAAGCAAGATGGAAAATGTTTTCTTGAACAAACGGAATTCTGAACGCGAATGTGGATTTTGTTCAGGAAACTCCATTCATTCCAATATCGAATGTTAAAACTGAACATTTCAAACAACATTCTACAAGTCTCTGATGGCATTATTAAATGTCCTGATGAGATTTTTCTTAATGAACGTTGATATAAAATCTACCAGTGTGTGGCCATCTTTGGCCTGGAATTGTCAGTTCTTATCTTTCGGTTCTCTTTCCCTAGACTTTGTTAGAAAAGTCAAAATATTTGCAGATGGAAATTGTATGATGTTGTGATTACCAGAAAACATAGCTGTTATTTGCCTTCATTGCTGACTGCCACAGTTTCCTGCATTATACCACAATGTGCAGGTACCTAAAGAAATGAAGCCGCAAGACACTTAGAAGTGAAAGGTTTCCTGGTTTGTGGTCACAAGATTGTATATGGGTGTGTATGTATGTATGCATGTGTGTATGTATATAAAAATAAATACACACATACACACCTCAGCAGTGTCATTATTTTGTGTATTTAGAAAAAAATTAATTGACCCACCACACAGTGACTCCAAAAACCTCTTCTTTTTCCAACATTAAACTGCTTTTGTTCCTCTTTTCAGGCTGTCTGTCTCTAATTGAAACTCTGTATGGAGTCTGGCCACGGAGGGGAGGTATATTTAGCTTTGTGTAACCTGAGCATCCGCCATTACATTTTGTAGGCAGGCAAATTAGCAGGTAAACGGCTTTGCATTCACTTCATAACTGCTTCTCTCCCCATTATTTATTTGGCAATATGGGAATGCAACGCAGCTGAAGCAGGTCAAATGCTGGTTAGCTACAATGAATCCTGAACGATCTTAGACGTGTCTCAAATGATATCAAAAGCACACTGCGTTTGCCCATCAAAGCCCATAGACATGTCATATGTATGTAAAGCTTAGAAATGGGACAGCTTTGTTTGAATTGGCCATTTGGAATGATTGATTTATATATTGTGTGGCAGATTTTTTTTGGGGGCGGGGGGGGGGTTTTTTTCTCTTTATTTGGAGTGTAGATCCCACTCAGGTCTGCACTGATCTGTGGTGCAATGATCTATGGCCATCCAGTGCACTGTGAAATGCATGTCTTCATTTCTGTGCACCACAATTACAATGGGGTTGTGGTGTGAACGGGGCACACCAAAAACTATTTTTTTTTTAATGTGCCCTAGTGGTGACTTGGGTTGATCAGTTGCAGAAGAACCTTAGTCACCACAAATAGTATAAATGAGCCCTTAGCTGCCAATAAATTGATTTTTGTCATGTAATTTATAGCTATTAAATATTATCTTTTAGGTGACCCCTTACTTATGGCACTGTGTCCGGTTATACCAATACTTGTCTCAGTGTTGTTGTGAAGTCACTTTGGCCCTGTGTTGGTGTATTTATTTGCACCCCATACAGTGCTAAAGCAGATCTAAACCCAAAACCAAAAATGTAGTATTTTGTAACTTGCCAGTCTTTGAATGTCGCGTCATGCACGTCTGTGCATTCGTTTTTGTTGTTTTTTTTTTTTACCCAGTAATCCTATGTGCAAATAACACACTACTTGTCCTGAGGGCCCGTTCACACCAGACACAGTGGGTTCCGGCCCGATTCAGTCGAACGCACTGGATCGCATTGCGGCCGGCTAAGTTTGTTGTGGGAGGGTGCGTGGCAGTCCCTTTAACTCAATGGCACCGTAGCCACGCCCTCCAGCCGCACTGGAACGCGTGGCATATCAATGCCTGCAGCCAGAATCAGGCCGGAGCGCACTGAAGATGGTGTGAACTAATCCTAAAGAGGCTATTCTTACTACTCCTCTTTTATCTATGGAGGTAGCCATGGTTGTAGGCTGAACATGTCTTTTCTCTTTTCATCTAAATTTTCATGGTGGATTGATGAGACAAGAATGATAAGAATGCCTGTGCTGTCTTTTTAGCTCATGGGAAGTGACAAGGACCTTGTATTTTTGTCAAGGTCAACGTGTATTTTTTCTATGTGCTCAGAAAAGTGAAAACAAATGCGACTACCAAATCTAACGACTTATTAGCTTCAGTATATTCCATGTTTTGTTACTGTGTTTAGATATGCTTTATTAATTTAATTCCATGTATGACATACATAGTACCTTCTTGTATTCACCTTTGCGTCCAGATTCCCCTAGATTGCTGCTGGGGGTGGACTTCTATTACCTTTGGTAATGGAACATTTGTGATTAATGTGTCACAAACTGGACCTTTTTTGGATCCGGAGCTCTGTATTTTTTGGTATTCTTCTATCTGCCCTCTTGTGACTGGTTCTGATATTTGTTTCCCACTCTAATCCAGCAGAAAACAATCCTGGTTGTTGTGGATTTCGTATCGGCCTAGAGTTTGCATTGTTTATTGGAGTTTTAGTCTCTTGTATTTTTAAACTTTCTGTTATGGTAAGAGGAACAAATATAAAGCACGCTGCCACAGCCTGATTACAAACTTGTCAATGTTACAGGAAGTTGCTGGTTCCGTTTTTTATCTCTTGTCTTGTGCAGGGTGTGAACTAGAGTTGGACTTGCTATACGTGATTATTCATTTTCTTCAGGGTGTGTCACCAACTTTTCCAGTGTAGTTCCAATTTTACTGTCAAATTTGGAAAAAACCCCACTATGTGTGGGTAAATTTGTTCTTTGTTTTTAGTTATACAGCATATCGAAAAATAATTAAAAAATATCTACTTTTCACCTTTTAGAAGTCTCTATGGTGAAGGCCTTTGTGCAGATTCCAGGCTACTCAGCAGTTTGAGAGAGAAACTATAGTGTCAGACTGGACATCCTCTCATTAACACACAATGCCGGGAAGACTTTAACCCTTCGTTAGAACAGACGACGTTCAAATCTAGTTTACAACTAATAATAGAATCTGCTGGCACAGTACAGACGGGGTTAATTAAACATTCGCCTCCCCTTCTTAACATTACATAGGGAAGGCTAGGTAGGATTTTTAAACAAGTAGAGCACTTAAAAATCTAAGCAGCCATTTTTTTTTCAAAGTTTTTTTAATGCGAATGGGAACATACACTATATTGCTACTAAATATTCCACGGTCAACTGTTAGTGTTATTATAACAAAGTGGAAGCAACTGGGAACAGCAAATTGGCCACGAAGTGGTGGGCCAAGTAAAATGACAGAGCGGGGTCAGCGAATGCTGAAGCGCACAGTGCGCAGAAGTCGCCAACTGTAGCTGTTTGAGTCAATAGCTACAGACCTCCAAACTTCGTGTGGCCTTCAGACTGGCACAACAACAGAATCCAAGCCTTACATCACCAAGTGCAATGCAAAACATCAGATGCAGTGGTGTAAGCACGCCGACACTAGACTCTAGAGAAGTGGAGATGTGTTCTCTGGAGTGACGAATCACGCTTCTCTGTCTGGCAATCCGATGGACGTGTCTGGTGGTTGCCAGGAGAACGATACTTGCCTAACAAACAGGGGACCTCAGGTGAAAGAAACTAAATGATCTTACTATGATTGTCACTGTTTTGAACTGTTTATACCTTTTCTGGCTCGAAGTTGGCAACACCATTACATACCAATTTCAGGTCCTTTTTACATCTGCATTTTTAACCCACGTTAATGCATGTGCAGAGATTTACCATTGGTTTTTTTTGTGACAGTTCACATATGTACAAGGCTTAGTGACATGCACTGGGTAAAAAAACATGAATGTCCTTTTCATCTGTCGACAGAGGGTAAAAGGGTTTTTGATAAGAATGGCAGCAGATCACAATGCACTTGCCCAAAGCAATGAAAAAAATAACTACGAAAACATAGACGGATGGGTTTTCATTAGGGATGCACCGATACTAGTATCGATATCGGTGGCGAGTACTCGTACTCGCCCAAATGCTCTGATGCCTAGCACGAGTACTTCCTGTATCAGGAAGCCGGGCAGTGCGTCATTACACTTTGCCCGGTTTCCTGATTGGCCGGGAAGTCGACTCCATGCTCTCTCATGAGAGAGCATGGAGTCGACTTCCCGGCCAATCAGGAAGCCATGCATCGTGTAATGACACTCTGCCCAGCTTCCTGATTGGTCCCTGCATCCCTAGTTTTCATCATTTTAAATCCTGATGAAAATAGTTGTGGAGCAAAATATCTTCAACCTGGTATTTTGGATTATAAGAAGCAGAAAGAATGGTAGCAAGGTTTGATGCAATTTATCAAGTACCATATAGTAGAAAAGAGTCTACCAAAAAGTTACCGATTTTTTTTTAATCTTCTTTTTTTTTTTTTTTTCCCAGCACTTATTTAATATGCAACACAAGTTACAGTATATGATTCAAGGAAGAGATAATGATGTGTGGTGGTGCTAAGACATCCACAGCTGCTAAGGGAAATATGACACATGTGTTTTCCTGTTCTTATTTGTGCTTTACTAATTTGTTTTCAGATGGTTCTGTGCTACTGTTACTACATCTGCTCTTTGATTTTACAGCGCAAGAATGACGACCCATGTAACACTTGAGGACGCCTTGTCTAATGTAGACCTGCTGGAGGAGCTGCCTTTGCCTGACCAGCAACCCTGCATTGAGCCACCTCCCTCATCACTGTTGTATCAGGTATGTGCTGTTGGCTTTGCCATGCTGTATAACTAGGTAATGACATCTGCTAAATGTAAATACCAAAACAATAAAATGTGAGCAGATGTTAATAGATGCAAACATTGCTTCACAATTTCTTTCTTTGTAGTTCCTGGTTAACTTATTAAAAGGGAGGTAAATCCAAACTTTTTTTGTCTTTACATCTCTTTTGGGGTACAGGAGTACTAATTTAAGCTGGGCATACACGGTGCTATTTTTTTCATTCAACCCGTGGGCTGAACGAAGGAAATAGAACAGATACCTCTATCAACGCTTACAAGTATGGATTGAGGAATCTCCTGATGTTTCTTTTGTCAGAATACCCAAATGGAGCCTGCAGCTGATTGGCTGCTAGCTTCGCTCGGCTGAGAATTTTCCAACCTGCTCCTTCGATCAGCTAACTGAAGGATGCCAGACGGAAGAATCCTGACGGTGGCACCCATTGTGCGAATTTGGACCAGTTCATAAAGAACCGGCCACAATTCACTGCGTGCATACCCTGCTTTACCGCTGTGACTCAAAGTCAGCATGCTGACATCCCAGAGCAACGCTGCAGCTGGAAAGGATCCTGACAATATTGTCAAAATCCACCAGTCTGCCGTATTGGCAGCTGGCTCTGCCTCTCTAGAGCCAAATACGGTTAAGCCTGACAGTCAGTGCTCTCTCCAGGGAGATGATCGAGAAGTGAGCGAGCACCGGTATGTGTTCGCTCACTTCCCGATCTATTGAGCCGACGTGTGACAGTCTCATTGTCACACTTTGGCTCGAAATATGACGATGAGTGATTTTTCACTCGCCTCATAGTTCTCCTTTTTAAGTAGTGTCAAAGTTATCACTAATAAACTGGCCCACTGCTACAGTCACAAAAAATTCCTTCATCAAAGTAAAAGCATGATCGTGCTTGGCAGGAATAAATGTAGCAAACTCACTAGCTGCTGATTTGTTTCTTGATCAAATAATATAATGTCTTATTGTGTAAACAGTAGTAATAGTAATCTTTTTTCCACAGCAAACTAGAATCATAAAAAGTTGTTTCAGGGTAGGAATTGCTGGGAGAAAGCGCGTTCCAACCTGCCTGCCGCTCTTCTGAAAGGTCTGCAGTAGGAATGAGAGAGAACTGATGACAGCGTAGAGTGACACTGTGTTTTGCTGGTAGTTTTAATGCAACACTAAAAAGTACTTAAAATAAATATGAATGAAAATGATCATAAGTTGTTTTTGTAATGTAAGCAGCTACTGTTAATAAACAATTGCTTCATTTGATTAATTTTGTGTTTTTAAATTGGCAGCCAAATTTTAACACTAACTTTGAAGACAGAAATGCCTTTGTCACTGGCATTGCAAGATACATTGAACAAGCAACTGTTCATTCTAGTATGGTAAGTAAGAGCGCTGTTTTAAACTGATGTTTTTGTTCTATGGTTATCTGCTACGTTGAACATTTGAACCGTAACTTGCTAGGGATACAAGGACAGCTGAACTTTGGGAAAACGGCTAATACACAGTTGTACACACATTTGTTACATGTCTTCTGTGCCTGAGGATTTGTAATTCTGTCCAGTGATTTATGTAGATTGTAACTTTTAAATTTGTGGCAGCAGTAGACGCTGGGTAATTGGGTTGGGGAGGAGAGGGAAAAATGATGCTGGTTTGAAAACATTGTTCTCACAACGTAAGGCAGTGATTTATGATGTCTGCACATGCTTTGTTCTCTGCACCTCCTAGTGCCATTTACATATCTATGTAGGCATGAGCTAGCCAGTCATGCTTGTTTATCTGAGAGCCAGCAGTAGAAATACCTCCTAAATAGTTTGATAAGACCTGCATGTCTGACATAATGTTTTATGTCCATAAATGGCTTATTTCTTGTTCTATCAAGTCTGCACTGAGGCATCTTGAACATTGGTGACTGCTGTTGCCACATCTATAGCAGTGCTCCTTTTGACTAGTAAGTTGTGCCAATAGCATATCTGCCATGATCACATTGTTCAATATAGTGATGACTTTATCTGTAATCTTGTTTAGTAAGAAAAAAAATGTTATTAGTTTAAAATTTATAGAAAGCAAGCAGATAATCAACTGACCCCTACACAGAGGATGGCTGTTATCCCATAAGTTCCATTGAAAAATGTTAAGTAATCTGTAATTGGACAATGTACGGGGTACAAAAAAAAAGAATTGTACCACCCTGGAACACACAAGTGATCACATTTTCATCAATTTATTTCAATTTCTTCTTTCTGAAGTTACCCAATATGTGATTTGTGGCACAATGCTATTTATTTTTAAGACTTTCATTCATTTTTCATTAATATAGTAATGAGATAAACATATTTTGTCAAAGGGTTAATACTTTATTAATTGACTTTGGACTTTTATAGAATGAAATGCTGGAAGAAGGGCAAGAATATGCCATTATGCTGTACACATGGAGAAGCTGCTCAAGGGCTATACCACAGGTAAGTTATTACAATAACCCATGGTTCTATAAAAATAATAGGATGACATGTTAAATGAAATCTTTTTATCCATTAGGATTGATTTAGTGCAGTACTGTATGTCCAAAATGCCTAAGAGAATGTAAAAGTTACAGCACTGGAAAGGCTATGTAGCCAGAAAAAGCAGTTTAAAATTTTCAAGAGGCATGTTTACATTTAAGCATTGACAGTAAATTTATGAGCAATGCACCTAACTTCTGACGATACATTTTGGAGATCTTTGCATGTACAGAAATTGTGGAATGGATTAAATTTTCCTTTACCACAATGTTAACATATCTGTGAGAGTCAGGGACACAGAGTGCAATACCTGGGGTGTCTTATACCATTGATTCAGTAGCTTAAAGCATGAGTCCTGGTATTTTGTCCTGTGAGTAAAGAAAGGGATTCTGTCTGTCTTTTGGTGAGAACTGTAAATAAAACTCTTACTCCCATCGAGCAACATACCATAGAGAGAGGCCTATGTATGGAGAGTTCAGTATCAGGGATACAGTGTGTCTGTTTGAGGGCAGTTGACTTGTAACACTGTCGGAGTGCGAGAGAAAACCTCTGCTGGTGGCAAGTATTGCATAAATTGGGACAATTGCACTGATCTCTAGAAGCCAAGAATTGACGCATGCTGGTTAGCCAGTAGATACTTGGTGAGCTCTAGAAGTGTCTTAGACCTGAACAGCTCCTGGAAAATTGGATCTGCAAGCAGTAGATATATGCACAAAGTTTAGAAAAGAAAAAAATCCTGCTTGAACATGGGTTTAAACTAACCCTGTCTTCGTCGAGCGCTCCCGTCCGAGAATCCTAAACTGCTCGGGCGGCCGCAAAGCATCTTGGGGCAGGCGCATGCGCAGTTCGGATTTTCGGGCGGGAGACGAGGAGTAAGTTAAGTCTATGGACGCGTGCACCCGCATGCAGACACCATGGGATCGGAAGTGCCAGCAAGGACAGAGGAGTCAGCGCTGGATCGGACACCCTCAGCAGCGCTGGAGAGAAGGCTGAAAACGACAGGAAAGAAGAGGAAGATCGGATTAAGAAACATAATTTAAAGGAGAACTATGAGGTGAGTGCTTTTCACTCACCTCATAGTTCTAGCCGACCTGTGACAATGAGAATGTCACAGGTCGGCTCAGTAGATCGGGAGGTGAGCGAACACATAGCGGCGTTCGCTCACCTCTTGATCCTGTCACAGCTCTCTGCCGTGACAGGGGAGGGGCTGGATTCCCCCCTCCCCGCTCCGTTCCACTAGCGCTGACTGGCGGATTGGACAGGGGAAGGGGCGGGTACAGCTGGCTCTGCCTCTAGATAGGCAGAGCCAGTTGTCAGTCACGCAGCTGGGCGGATCCCGGCACAATTGTCGGGATCCGCTTTAGCTGCGGTGTCTCAGTATACCGCGAGCTACAGCTCGCGGTATACTGAGGCTAGGGTGACGGGAGGACGCTAGTTTGTGTCCTCTCGTTACCCTAAGGAGAACTGTGGGGAAAAGCCCTAACCCCATAGTTCTCCTTTTAAGGTAAGTGCTGACATTAACATTGGGGGGAGGGAACATTTTTTTTTTTTTTTTACTTTAATGTCACTTTAAAGAATTTGCAGCTCGTAGACCACGAGGGGAGTACAGTTTCATTATGAAGGGAGTCTGGGTCGCTGTTTGCTGTCACAACCAAGAGTGCCATCCAGTTTTTGAGTCTGCTGTACCTGACTCTTAGATGTGGTGCCAGTTCCAGGGGGAAATACACATTTTGTAGAATTATTGCTCAGTGACACCAAAAAGACACTTGTGTGGGTAAATCTAATCTTGAGCTGTTGGGCTCTGTAAAGAAAAAGATTTGCTGGTTACAGGTATTTGCCAGATTTAAGAAAGCATCCTAAGCATAATAAAGACAGATACAAATATATACAAAACCAGACTATATATACTTAAAATAATCTAGTGGATGAGTCACTGGTTTATATAACTGCCATGAAAAATAGGTAGACATACTTAGAAGTCCTTTCCCCTTTTGGAGTGGCTTGTTTGTACACTTAAGAATTCAGTAAATCATTCTTTAGCGATCAATAGCGTGAGCTGTGTTACATTTTACTTTACCCATTTGATCAATGACCCTGTTTGAAGCAGTAAAATTGTTATTCTTGTCCTTGGTACAGGTATTTCCATTGACTCATTTGTCAGTTAAGCACAATTGCACCACAGCAATCACCCTCTTTCGAAACTGAAAATATCTATCTTCTTTTCTCTCTCTCTCTTCTTCATGAACCTGTAGGTTTGTTGAGCTGCAGGCACCCTAAACTGTCTGTACTTTTCCGCAGTGTCCCAAGAAATAGTTAGTTCTTCCAGGTATAGGGAGCATGTGACAGAAGTCAGAAGTTCCCTTTAATTTCAGCATCTACTATTGTTGAAATAAATGCAAATCTGAGCATATTGAGCTCACTGTAACAGAAGTGTAGCAGACTTGGAAATCACTTCTGAAAGATGCTTGTCAAGATGTGTACTGTAATTTTGGGCTCATATATACAGGCACCAGTTTCACCCAGTTGATGCCCTTTGCTGCTAACTTAACTCCTTTACTGCCCTATTCTATTTCTTCTCTCCTTTTTATGTGCATACTTCATTTTTGTTACAGCTTTCTCTCTTCGTGTCTCTTTTTTTTTTTCATAGGTGAAATGCAATGAACAGCCTAATCGTGTGGAAATCTATGAGAAGACAGTGGAAGTGTTGGAACCAGAGGTCACCAAGCTGATGAATTTCATGTATTTTCAGGTACCTGTTTTTATGCTATGTGCATAATCTTCAATCTCGGATACAATTTAAAATGGCTAGCTCTTACCTCCCTGTAGCAGATCTTGCCTCCTGTAGCAGATCTCACCTTCTGCTTCTCCATTGTGGTTACATGGGAAATCCCAGTGATGCCATCTTGGCACATGTTTGTGGTTTCCCCTGAGTTCTGGTGGTCAGACCTAAACCAGGCCAGAGTTTATCCAGCAGCATAAAATCACTACAATAGTGATCTTTCACTTCACTTGTTAATAACAGTGTGCAAGGGAGATCCCTATTAAAGGTGATCTGTTGTGCCCTGATCTCATCCAGCCCTCCATGGAAAAAAATGTTACAGGGGGGTAAAGGTTAATCGGTTGAAATTTAAGCAGTGGGTGGCCCTTCTAGTACCTCCCAGCTCAACAAAAGTAAATTTACATTTACTCCTGAACAGTGACTGCATTCCTATGAGATGCAGTCACTGTTCGGCAGAGCCACAGCACACAGGCAGCAGCTGTTGTCTTGACTACTAAATACAGTAGCTGGCATTGGGGAATCCTTCCACGTCGTTTAGCATAGTTGGGGGGGGGGGGATAAACTTTTTTAACCCACAGGCGGTTGGGGGGGGGGGATCAACTCTTTTAAACCACAGGCTGAACAAGAGAAAATTGAGCAATGTATAGCTAGCTTTAGTCAAAGCTATTAGCTGATAAAACACAGCTGATCAAAACACCATCTCCACACAATAACCAATTACTCTGCTTCTGCATAAGAGAAACAGCACCCCTATGTCAAAATGAAAGAAACTTTAAAACAAAGCATTTACCCAAATAGCACATCTAAACCATCATTAGAAAAAGCAACGCCTGTGCCCTGCTAGCATGTTGCAGAGTGGGACCCCTGCTTTCTGTGGGTAAGTAGTGATTTCTTTGCAGAGGTCTGACACACTGCTGAGTCTGAGTTGGAGTTCTCAAATCAGTGGGAATCATGAACTTTGCGGATTGCAGAGCTATTGCAAGTCTGTCTCTGTATGGGGCATTTTGGACCTCTGAAATTAGACCACTGCTTCCCCACAGAGAGCAAGGAGATAGGCTTTTCGACCTGGGCTGTGGCTGCTTTAGAAAGAAAATGAAATGTAAGACATCGAACACCTTTTGTTTTGATGCACCAGGAATGTAATTTGCTGATTTTAAATTATGGGTTTAATTGGGCTTTAACAATTCATGTTTTGATCATTTTGAAACAATGAGGGATTTAAGTGATGTCTGGAAAATGATAGGCGTACTTTGCACCTATTAAAATGTGTTAGCGGACCTGATGATAGTGTAAATAACAACATAGTGTTTTATTCTCTTCAGAGAAATGCCACGGAACGCTTCTGTGCTGAAGTGAAACGCTTGTGCCATGCAGAAAGAAGAAAAGACTTTGTATCTGAGGCTTATTTACTTACACTTGGAAAATTCATCAATATGTTTGCTGTACTGGATGAGCTGAAAAACATGAAGTGCAGTGTGAAAAATGATCACTCAGCGTACAAAAGGTGACACATTTGGGGTTCTGCTTGTTCATGTCTGTTTTACGTTCTGTTCTGTACAAGGTGGTAGCAGTGATGTAATTTACTTTTAAAACCTGTAGCATGTACTACATCATAAATCATATGCATGATTTACAAGAGCTCCTTCTTTCTTTAAAAATGCCTCAAAATTACTAATTTGCATTTCCAAGTTAATCATAAACATCCTTAGTGCAATTACATACACTTCAAATAAGTTTTGTCTACATACATGCATTTTATTACTACTTCCTATTGCCAACTTTATATTCTGTATCCCTAGGCCTTAAAGTGTATGTAAATCCAAAAACAAAATTGTTTATTTTCTGGCACTCCTTGTGACCGCATACTGCGGGGTCAAAAAGGTGGGGGATGACCCGTAGTATGCTGTAATGTGGAGTCACCAGGAAAGGAAAATTTGACAAACCATTTTCTATATTCATGGAACTCTTCATGCCACTTCTGCAGATGTTCTGGTTCAGATCTCCTACTGCGGAAAGGTTTCAGGGGTTTTATTCCAACTTAATCACAGTATCCAAACCAAAAGGGGGCAACCAATCCATTTTGGATCTCAAGGCCCTAAATATCTTCTTCAGGTCCAAGTATTCTGCATGGAATACATCAGGTCTACCATAGTCTCCCTCCATCAAGGAGACTTTCTGGCCTCTGGACATCAAGAAAGCATCCTTGCATGTCCTGATTTGTCCAAAATATCAGTGATTCCTTTGTTTTGGGTCCCACAGCACCCACCAGTTTGTGGCCCTGCCATTCGACCTATCCTTCGTACCGCACATGTTCACCAAAGTGCTGGCCCTTGTTCTAGCATTGCTACGCTCCCAAGGTATTCCCATTGTGGGATATCTGGACAATCTCCTATTCCTATTGAGGAAATGCTTGGCACAGGTTCTGCCCGCAAAGTGGCACAGACGATCCAAACCTTAAAAAGGTTCGGTTGGATCCTGAACCTTCAGAAGATGCTGTTGGAGCCGACTCATTGCTTGGAGTATCTGGGTCTTATCCTAGACATAAGTTTTTCTTCCTCAAGAGAAATTCCTAGTTCTATGTTCCCAGACTTGTACTCCTAAGTCCAGGAGTCGTTTGACTCTTCACTGCTGCGTGAGAGTTTTGGAGCTGATGGTAGCTCCATTTACCCAGTCCCACTCCAGAACACTGTAACTAAACATTCTGTCATTGTGGTAAAAGCAGATTCAGTCTTTTGGACAAACTGATTTACCTGACATCAAGGACCAGGTTGTCTCTGGTATGCTGGTTCAGGAGCCAGGTTCAGGGAGAAACCAGAAGCCTTGCTGCTGAAAGAGAAATGTAAAGGATTCTGTCTACGGCAGAACGTCACATCCCTGCCTTTTCCGCTGTTTATCTACTGGGAGGATTCTGTCTAGGGCAGAACGTCACATCCCCGCCTTTTCCGCTGTTCACCTACTGGGAGTAAATCCTTGGCAGGTAGACTAAGCTGGACCTGGGAGAATGGTGTCTACACTTGAAGCTGTTACAAGACAAGTGCCACAGGTGGGGGACGCTGGATGTAGACCTGCTAGCATTCAGGTTTAACAACAAACTGTACAGGCTTGTCTTCAGGTATCGAGAACCTCTGGCGATAACACTGGATGGTCTGGTGACTGTGTGGGATTAGTATAAGCTGATTTTATGCCTTTCCGTTCCTGAAACTCCTTTGTCCACTCTTCAGGATCCAGATGGGGAGCACTCCAGTGATACTCCTAGCTAAGGATTGGCCCAGGCAAATGTGGTACTCTGATCTGAACAGACACCTGGCAGATGCTCCACGGGCATTTCCAGATTGTCAAGACCTTCTATCTCTAGGACTGGTTTATTATCCTTCTTTACTGTTGCTTGCTTTAACAACATGGCTGTTGAAGCCCAAGTCTTTAGGAGACAGGAGTATCTGAATCTGTGATTCCCACAATGTTAAATGCTAGGAAGTCTACCTCCCTCTAGGTCTACCATCACAAATGGAAAGCAGACTCTGCTTGGTGCAAGGAAAAATGCTTGTCTCTGAATCCTGTGTCCCTCAATGAAAAAGAAAGAAAATTGGATTTTTGAACTTGCCGTAAAATTCATTTCATAGAGTTCCTTTAGGAACACAGATTCCACCCCTCTATGTTTGTGAGCTTGCTCCTGGTATGGCTTTTCTAAAGAAAAGAAACCGGGGGCATGCCAGGAGTGGGAAGGGTTATCCAGATGGTTACTGGTTTTTGTTTGGCAGTGACCAAAGCCTCCTGTAGGCAATTTAACCCAATTAATCCTGAATCCTGTTCCCCTCAATGAACTCAATTGATTTTACAGTAAGTACAAAAATCTAAAAATATAATACCTTATATGTGGTGACAGCATTCGTTTCCTTTTTTATGAGGGGTTTTCAGTTTGCTTTATTTTCACCTGGTGGTCCTGCCAGTTGTTAGAATGACAGCACATTTTAACTGTACTGTATCTATGAAGGAGCAGGGTTGTCGCCCTATGAAAAGTTGCTAACATTGGTGAATAAACCAAGTTGATGATATTGTTTATTACAACTTTTACTCTTTAATTATTCATAACCTTTGACATTGGCTTATAGGTTTATGTTTTTACGAAAAAGCCTCCAAGCTATATTATAGGGCTAGTTGTCCTTTTTTCATCTTCTTTTTTTTTTTAAAATATATTTTGAGCTAGTATCTTATGTTTTTTACATTTTGATATTTCTAAAGGGCAGCACAGTTCTTGCGTAAAATGGCAGACCCTCAGTCTATCCAGGAGTCCCAGAACCTCTCTATGTTTCTTGCCAATCACAATAAGATAACCCAGGTATGTAGAAACGTTTTTTTTTTATTTTTCTCATTTATGTATGTATTTTAATATTTTGTTAAATCTAATCCTGGTTGCACTTCTACACATAATATTAATGTGTATTGAGTATGCACGGTACATTATGTATAGCAATGTGCTTTCATGGGTTCAATATGTTAACATTTCACTAGCAATCAGCAGCTTTCATTGAGAAGAACCTATGAAAGACAGCCTGATTATTGCATGGCTGTACCATTTGGAACAAAGTAATTGCTAAAAATAAATCATTTGGTTACTATGCTTGTAAATAATAATGGTACCAAATAAATTTCAACTGCAGATTAAAGAGGAACTATATCCATATATTCTAAATAACAACAAAGGCACATTTAGCAATGTTTTTAGTAATAACAATCTACAGATACTTATAAATAATTGCAGGCTTTTTATTTTTTGCATACCTTATTTTTGTTTTTCCTCCCTATTCTCACAATGGCCATTTTTACTGAGGGCAGATTAATATATCTCCCTTTACTTCCTGGAACTCTGGCACATGTGACTAGGACATGGGACCATGCACCTCATCTCAGGGGAGGAAAATGCCTTTCCCTGAGATCTTCTGAGATTACATATGAGATTTCCCAGCAATGCTCTGCTGATGTAACCTTCCCAGGATGCAATGCTTGTGCAGGATTACATAATTTGTAGGGCTGAAAAAACGAATCAATGTAATCTGTGATCGATAATGAGAATCGTTATCGATCTGTTGATTTGATTAGTTAAATCCGCCGCCACTCTGCTCCCCTGCTCTCCTCCCCAGTGCTCGTTCGATGCTGCCCTGTGCCTATTCTGCATTTCCCAGCTCCTCCTCTGCTGCCCCCTTTTGGTGCCCCGGTTCCTCAGCTGCTCCCCTGTGCCCCCTCTTCTGCTGGCGGTAGAAAGCCGGCGTCAAGTTCTCATCCAGTGGCTGACTATTTTAAATTGCAACCGATCAGCTGGTCCAGGTAGATGGGATAATGCAGATCGGTTCTCCTGCACATCGCAGCGAGTCGATCTGCCCTGGAACAGCTGACAAAGCGTTGGAATGCTTGCCCCAATGGGTGGCCACACATTCAAACAGAGTCCCGGCGGCTTTGTTTACAATGATGTACTATGCACGTCAGTGGATGCGAAGGGGTTAAAAACAAATTGATAATCAACTTTGGTGAAAAAAAGTGAATAAAACATACATGAACAAAAATATAAAATAACTTTCAATGAAATAAATGACTTAAATAAAAAATAAAAAAAAAGCACCATGCCTGGTTAAAGGGAATATATAGTGGTTTTCTACAAAGTTACGTTCTACTATAATCACAAAAAGCAGATCAAAAACATTACTCTAAAAGCTTACCAAAAAAAAAACTAAAATTGACACAAAGCTTATTAAATATCGTCTAGGGCCCTACTCTCCTTTTGGAAGAACATCTATTGTTGCTGCTCTTTTGGCTTTTAGTCCTAGAATGATAGGTACTGAGATGCCTCATGGATTTCCTGTATGTGTTTCTGTCTCTGTTGCAGTCATTACAGCAGCAGCTGGAAGTCATTCCAGGCTATGAAGAACTCCTTGCAGACATTGTGAACTTGTGCGTTGACTACTATGACAACAAAATGTACTTGACGCCTGGGGAGAAGCACACTCTACTAAAAGTAAGGAGAACAACCAATTGCTTTTGTACGCCAAGAATGTTTGACGATAGAATGGGTAATGGAAGAGTCATCATGCTGTATCATGAAATATCGCAGCTTCTCCAATAGGGGTAAAATTGGATTCTGCGGTTGAATAATCCTAAGCATAATTAGATCACAGTTTTTTATATAGATATGCCTTAGAACGGATTTAGAAAGATCATTTGTTTTTAGCAGAAGTGTAAAATGTTGATTTATAAGGAAATAATGAAAAGTCACTGTATAATGATAGCCCCCTGTGGGATTTAGCTCTTGCTGAAGTCATTTCCATACACAGTCTACAAGTGGCTTCATCACTAGTCATTTGTTTTGCTTAAATGGTGGGCATTAGTGCAATTAAACAGCATGCTTGCTCATTGTTTAGCCCAAATGCCTTGTTGGGGTTTTTTTTCTGCGTGAGGATAAGGATGGTCTCGCTTGTACACTTTAGATTTCTTCCACAGTCCACTAACAGATCTGTGATATAGTTGGCTTATGTATACATTGGTCCTAATGTTTGTATTTGGTCAGGCCATTTGATGTTATATTATTGTGTTGAAATCCCATATAAAGTTATAATTACATTTATTTCTGAAGTTGCTGAAGGTTAGCACAGTTTGAACATATAACATATACAAAATATTTGTGCATTTAAGCATGTTAAGCAGGCCTTTTAAAATGAATCATAACTGCAAAAAATGCATGCCACTTTGGGGGGTTTTAAATGCAGCTACATTATGGAAGATCCCTTCTGAGTGTTTCCTCCTATTGTTTTTTTTGTGTTGTGCTGTATTTGTGTTGTATACAGAATAAATATGAAGAAGTCACACGCACTCCAGCTCAAGTTCAGTCAATATTTTATTGACCTCTGTGGTGTCACAACATGGCCATGTTGTGACACCACAGAGGTCAATAAAATATATTATGACGGTATAATGTCAATTACACTGATTTGCGGAGGCATCTGTGGTCGCTTGGCACCCACCCGATACTTGAGGGTATTATCCGGTCAGGTGTGCGATGGATTTCTTTTGATTATTGAAATGTATATACAGAAAACGCATCTTAAAACTTGCATATACATTCACGATCCTTGGTCCCAAATGCTTTTCAGTACACTTTTGGTGTAAAGCGTTCCAAAATGTAATTGTACTTTGTAAATTTAATTGGTTAATACTAGGGATGCACCAATATCGTTTTTTAGGTATTGAGTACGAGTACCGATATTTATTTATCTTTCGGTACTCACCGATACGGGTACTTCTGGAAGCATGGAACCTGCTTCCCAGCCAAGCAGGAAGCCGGACGGCGGGTCATTAGCTGCCGCCCGGCTTCCTCATTGGCCGGGAAGCCGGCTTCCCGGGCAATCGGGAGGCCGGTCATTACCCTCTGCCCGGCTTCCTCATTGGTCACAAAGCCGGCTCCATGTTACCTTGCGGCACTGCCGGTCAGAGGAAATCTCCATCTGACCGGGAGTTGTGGTATCGGGAGAAAGTATCGAAGCATTTGGCCGCGTAAGAGTACTCACCCGAATACTTGGTATCGGCACTGATCCCGATACTAGTATCGGTGCATCCCTAGTTATTGCGTCTTATCTGTGTGCACTGTACACCACATCTCTTGGAGAAAAGAATCGCACTTCAGGGCTTGGGGTATTTTTGTGGGGTACATGTGATGTGTATGCATTAATTCAGCATCTCTTTGACGGTTTGGTTTGTAGGTGATGGGATTTGGATTGTACCTCATGGACGGAAATGTGAGCAACATCTACAAACTGGATGCTAAAAAGAGAATAAACCTGAGCAGAATTGACAAGTTCTTCAAGGTAAAATGGAAAGCATGAAATGGCTGATATTTTATACACAATAAATGCAATGTGTAATAATGGGATATGTTGTCTTTTTGAACCAAATTCAGGTAAGCGTTAAAGCAGAACCCCGGAAATCATTTTTAATAACCCTTGCAGTGGAGCTACTACTGCTCTGCGAGGGTTAAGTGCTAGACAAAAATGAGTAGCCCCACTGCATGGGTTAAGGGCACATTTGCTCGGAGTTCTTCTTTAATCAGGCTGTTCCTTTATTTTATGTTCATAGGTACTTAAAGGTACCCAAAACATTTTACTTTAGTTAGGATAGAGTGGAGAAGGCAAAAAATCTGTCATGTTTTTATTACAGGCAGTGTTCCCATTGTGTGGCTTTCCCTTCACTTCTTGTGGGCAGATGCTCCTCCCCCACCCCAATTTTTTTTACAGGTGTCACGAGAATGGGAAATGAGATAATATCCCCATAGTGGGGTCATAGTAGTAAAAACCTGACAGAAATTCTAAATCTTGTTCACTCTACTTTAAAGCTAAAAGAAAAATGTTGGTCTGGAGTGAAGCTTTATTGAGGTTAGCCATTGTGCTGCGAAAAATCTTCTTCTGGTCAAATTGAGCCAGATGGAACTGTTTCTTTACAAGTTTAGTGGGTACAATGATTGTGCTTTGATCATTATCAGTCTATCGCATTCACAGTGGTAATGGTCACTTGTTCTTTTATCTTTCTGTTGAGTACAGCAGCTGCAGGTGGTGCCCTTGTTTGGTGATATGCAGATAGAATTGGCAAGATACATTAAGACCAGCATCCATTATGAGGAGAATAAGTCAAGGTAAGCATCCTTCTTCAGTCTTTGTCACGTTACCAAACGGTCCATCCAGTCCACATTTAAATCTTGCCCTAGGTAAGTGAAAATGTGTCATGAGAGAAACATGCTGCCATTGCTGACCTCCTCTCGTACATGCTGGTTGCTGTCATGGTGGCCCTCTAGTTTCTGTATTTGGAGTCCACGATCTCATACAAGTATGGAATGAGTAAAACCAGAACTCCTGATTTGTGTATTTTTAAGAGACTGAGAAAGTACTGTAGGCGATGGTCAGCATGACATACAGGGAACTAGCATGTTCAGAAACGGGTCAACAGTGCCATCTAAGGGCGTACATTCAGGAGGAATATGGGGGTCCACCCTGTCAGCAGGCACAGAGGACCAGAGAATCCTTTACTCTGCTCTCACAAGCCTCTCTTTTGTAAATCGGGCACCTATTGGCAGTTAGTGTCCCAGACTCAACAGCAACAAACGTAGAGTTACCTCGTCGCACTCCTTACTGGAAAAACCCAATAAAAGGGGGGGGGGGGGGGGGCACCCACGCAAAGGTCATTGACTTCCCTTGTGGTCCCAACGGCTTTGCGCTGACGAAACTGAAGATAATGAAGTTAGTTGGATGTAATCAGCACACCACAAGTAGTCCAAAGTACTCGTTTATTTCAAAACGTCATGTCATCAGACTCAACAGTCTCGCTCATAGTTGAGGGATGCTGTAATGCGCAAGAGGTCACTTGGGGAAGCACCACTGGTGTGATGCTTGTATTCTTCTGGACTGTGCTTGCAGGCAGCTTTGTTTGTGGTTTGATGACCTTAAAGTCTCAAACAGTTTGGAAGTCTCAAACTGCATAGGGGAGCTGCAGCAGGAGGAAGGATGCTGGAGCAACATGTAATTCTATTCGTCTGGCTGTACCTCAGTGAGTTTACAAGAGTAGTAATGAGAGGCAGATTACCCATCTGCTTTCACTGTGGATGAGAGAGCTGTCTTTCATGGACAGGAGGGTTGCAGGGCCCCATTATGAGAAATCAGTTTTTTAAGTGGGGAAAAGAGAATACCTAATACACCCCCACCCCTGCCTAGTTGTACCAAAACAAAAACCCTTGCTACCCCTAGTAGCAAATTACTAGCCTGATGATTGGCTGCAAAGGCACCTAGCATCAAATTTTGGAATGGTGGGGACTGTCATGTGGAGTGGAATTTTTTGTTTTGTTTTTTTAACTTCTGTTTATTGTACTTGTACAAAAATTGTACAGGATTACAGATATACAAAGTTCTAATATACAGAATACAAACTATTTTCTCTCCCGTTCATTGAAGGACACAGGGAACAGATCGGAGATCCTATGCCCTAGTTTAGCAGCTATATTGCCGGGAACATGGACTGTGGGGACGGTCTGTCCGCAGTACCCTGTGAGGGCTGCGGCCTCTCTTCAGGGACATCTCCCACGTCTCCCCTTTGCGCGGCCTGTACTTCTGCGCCCCTTTCCCAGTCTCCCTTGGTGCCTGTGGGGTCTTTGG